TGGCTGATCATCTTTCCAAACTTCTCATACTCAGCTTTCATGGCTGCCAACTATGCACAGGCAGACTCAACTTCTGTATCTGTACCCATGGCTGCATTTGCACTTACTGTCTTTCTACAATCATTTTTCTTCTAGAACCGAACAGGGAGAAGACTGGGATGCAATTTCCAGCACTTGTCCTTGGTGTGTTTCGGCTTCTTGCAATATTCACAGACCACCTCCTTCTTTCCTGTGCCATTGAGAGCCCCTATAACCCCTTTGGGTTTAACCCCCATATTTGCAAAATGATCATTGATGCCAACTCCTTGAACCTGTACTTGTCTTCTATTCTCTTCACTGTTGACCAAAGCATATGCTTGCGACAATGAAACACTTTCCTTGGAGAAAATGTTCTGCTTTGTGATATCATATTCAGGATTCAGCCCAATTAGGAACTCAAAGACCCTGTTCCTTTCAACTAATTTCCTGTATGTTTCAGCATCATTGGGGGTATCCCATGTTATAGCCTCTATCAGATCAATCTCTTGCCATAAAGATTTCAGGGTTGAGAAGTATGCCACAAGGGATTTCTCCCCCTGTCTTAGATTCTTCACATCACTCATCAATTTATAGGCTCTGGCAACATTCAATTTCTGGGAGTAGGTTTCTGCAACACTATCCCAGATTTCCTTAGCCGAGTTCATCCAAAGATAGTGTTGACTAATCTRTGGCTGCATTGAATTCACAAGCCACCCAATCACTATGTAGTTCTCTTGCATCCATCTCTCATAAGATGGATCGTCCTCTAGGGGAGCTTTCTTGCTCCCAGAAACAAACCCCCATTTTCCTCTGCTACAAATATGGATTTTCRCTRATTGTGACCATGCCAAGTAGTTGGTCCCATCAAGTTTAACTGTAGTTACAGCCAACATAGAATCGGCTGGGATTCCCAAAGGCTGTCCATATTCAGCAGCACTCYTGCTTTCAAGGTCTGAGAAGTCCATCATGAAAAGGTTCTAATTAGGGTTTTAATAAGTTTCTCAAAGTGCAGGGATTCTTGATGAACTTGGTTTGAGCTGAATCGGCAACACCACACAGCTCACAAAATCAGTTCAGTCTTGACAACTGTGACAGCCAAGCTCGGTGGCAGCTCTTTCTAGAAGAAGAAATACTATTTCAGCCTTCAAGGGGCAACCAGCAGACCTCCAAACACAAAGTATTCCAGGTCCCCAACAACTGTTGTCCCAAAGAGAA